GCAGTGGCCGCTCCCGGCCACTGCAGCCTTGACCTGCTGGGCTCTGGCAATCCTTCCGCCAAGCCTTCCGAGTAGCTGGAACTACAGGCGCGCGCTACCATGCCTGGCTGATTTTTGATTTATTGTAGAGATGAGGTCTCGCCAAGTAGCCCAGGCGGGTCTCGAACTCGCGGGCTCAGGCAATCCACTCACCTCAGCCTCCCAAGGCGTGGGATTACAGGCTGAGCCACCGAGTCCGACTTGTCCCCCTCTCTTTTCCTCCACAGTCCCACCCACCTCCACTCCCTTTGACAGGTTCTAACTTTCCAGAGGATGAGGTATTTGAGGCCAGAGATAAGCCCACAGGCTTTGCTGACAAGCCTGTTTTCCTACGCCCCGTTATTTTCCTCGACAATTTTATCAAGTTGGGGGAAGACCTCCAGAGGGTGTTAGGGAGAGCCGGACAGGCGAAGGCCAGCATCCCATTCCAGCGCACCCCTCACTAAGAGTGGCTCTTGAATCGTTTCCTCCTTTTGCCCAGTAATCCCTGCAAGTTTGATCAGGGTGAGAACAAAGGGCAGAGAGATTGCTCTTCCCACCCTGAAACAGGATACCTTGTCTCTTCTGAAGCCTAGCTAGGGGTGCTCCCTCCTTAGTCTCCCGAGGCCATGGGGGGATAGACAGCCTGTTCTTACATGGGCCCTTGAGCTGTCAGGGGCCCAGGACTCCAGTCTTCAGCAGGGTAACTGACAATCCGGCAACAGAGCCAACGTCCTTGTTCTCCCTCCATCAGGTTGTCCTAACCAGGCAGGTGCGAAAGCTGCAACAGAAGGCATGTTCACGTGGAAGCAGTTTTCCCCAGTTGCCAGCACCCCACACTTAAGAGAGGGCAGTCACAAGGACCTATCTTGACTCGCCTACTCCTTTGTAGAAGCTAAGAGACACCCGTTGTTTTTTGTTTGTTTGTTTTCTCACTCTGTCGCCCAGGCTGGAGTCTTCGGCCTCAGCCTTCCAAGTAGCTGAAACTACAGGCGTGCGCCACCACACCCAGTTAATTTTTCTTGATTTATTGTAGAGACGAGGTCTTGCCATGTTGTGCAGGCTGATCTTGAACCCCTGGGCTCAGGCAATCTTTTTGCCTTTGCCTCCCAGGTACCAGGATTACAGGCATGAACCACTGGGCCCATCTTAGAGGCCTGAGCGCTAATGCTGGCTGCTGGGTGGATCCCTTCTCTGCCTCAGGGAGTGGAGTCCTTGTTCAGCTCCCAACCCAGGTGACTGATTCTGCCCCTCAACAGCCTACCTCCCTGGTCCCTCCTCTTCCTCCTTTTTGCTCCAGGAAGACTAAGGTCGTGGACTGGGGGAGGATTAAAGGTGGCAGCCGTAGGCCCAGATCCAGTGTGGCTGTCTCACTTTGCGCCTGCCCCTCTGCTGCCCACCACTCGCATAACTTTCCCAGCTGGAACCCCCTCTTCCCAGTCTTGTCTCTCTCCTCCTCTCTTCTCAGTTGTTCCCACCCTTTGATTCTCCTGCCCACCTTCCTCTCGGGCCAATCCCCACATTTCGATTTCCTTGGACAGGTAGACCAGCAGGGAACCTAGGGAGTTGGTGGTGAGACTGGGGCACAGAGTCATTATCTCCTTACTCTCTGATGGAACAAACCCCAAGTCTCCTCCATCTAGAGGGACTTGAAGTAGATTTTCCCTGAGGAGATGGGAGAATGAGCTAGGAGGGGACGGGCTGGGCTTCTGCTCCCATCCCCGGCACAAGGAAGCTCTGTGCAGAGACCTGAGTGCAGTGACAGAAGCAGGGCTCCAGCTTTACAAAATAAAGTGTTTGTTTATTATGAAATTAGACATGGAGGCCCCTCCCCTTCCTCCCTCTTTCCCTTGCCCCAGCTGCCTCCGCCGTCCTTCCCCCACTCTCCCTGGGGCTTGGGAAGCACACAAGACATGCCCAGAGCAGGGATGCCCAGGGCAGGCTGACAGCTGGGCAGAACTCCAGGGAGGTGGCCACGTGGGAGGCTGGAGCTCTGGCCCTGGGAGGCAGGCTGGCTCCCTCTCTCTGCGGGAGGCCAGTGGAGCCAGGAGGAGGCCATGAGTGATGGACGGAACCATGCGGGCAGGTCTGTAAGGACAGGGGAGCCCAGTGAGAGGCGGGGTTGGTCCAGCCCCTCTCCCTGCCCCAGGCAATCTAGAGGCACTGACCTGGGGCAGAGCATCCCCTGCAGGAGGGTGGGCAGCAGTGGCTGGAAGTTTCTCTTGATTTTGGGATGGACAACAGAAAAAACCAAAAAGCCAGTCACAGGGACCCAGAGAGAAGGCGGGAGACGTGGCGGGAGAGACAGACACAGAGTATGTGTGCGGGCAAGGAGGGAGACAGAGTGTGCGCGAGGTTTCGAACTGCAGAGACAAAAACGGCCACGGAGAAAGGAGGGGAGTCACAGTGAGAGAACGAGGTCCGGGGCCAGAGCCACCAAACTCAGACCCGGAGAGAGCGGGGTGTCACAGAAAGACAAAGGTCCCTGGAGAGACGCACACACCGACCGACCGGGAGGAGAGGCAGGCGAGAGCACACACCGACCGACCGGGAGGAGAGGCAGGCGAGGCGCGGGTGCCCGGGGGAAGGAGGGAGGGACGCAGGGACAGGGAGGAGGCCTGGGGCCCCGGGGCTGCTGCCGCCCGCCTGGAGCCCGTGGGGCTCACTCAGAGGGCCGGTGCCGGCCGCCCCCCGCGGCGCTC